TCCTCCTCCTCTTCTCCTCCTCTGCCGGTGGCTGGCGCGCCCCGCCGTGACCGACCCGCCGGCGCCGCCCGGCTTCCCAAAATTTCGCAGGCCTAGAGGTTGACACCAACTCCAATTTCGGCGGTGTGCCTCCCCCGAGGGAAGACGATCCCGATCTCGGCGATGGTGGTACTATTCTGGCTTCCAAGGTGGCCGAGATATTACCACCAACACCGAAGTCTAGGATCCTCTTCCCCCTTTGGAGGCAACCCCCTGTGTTGGTGTTGGTGCCCATTCCCAGGCCTCCAACAAAAGAGCGGGATCGGCGCCCCCGCGTCCGCGCCCGCGCGGCGCGGCGCGGGGCCCGCCACCGTCCGCACCGGGGGGGGGCGGCGCCCGCGGTGTGGCGGCGAGGAGGGGCCGCCCGCGCGGGTCCAGGCGCTCGGGCAGCGGACGGATCGGGGCGTCACGAAGCCATTCCGCCGATGCGCTCCGAGTTCGCCGTTCGCCAGGAGGGGAAAACAAAAACACACAGACACAATGAATCGTCGCTTCCCCAGAAGAGATGGGAAATCTGGGAAGTGGGGGGGGGGAGACAGGAACCCATAACATATGGGAAATTGTGGGGAGTTTGTGTCTATCTATTTGTGTGTCCCAGTTCGATGCTGGATTCGTCGCCGCCCCCCGCGGGCCCAGATCCGCGAGAAGCACTGGGAGCGCCAGGGCGCCAAGTGGTGGCTCCACCTGGTGGAGCTGATGAGGCGCCCGGCCAAAGCTCGCGCGGCCCGGCCTCGCGCGGGGCGGGGCGTCAGGGGCCGCGGCAGGGGAGGAGAGGCTCAGGGCGGGGGGGGCATCGCCCCCCCAATCGCCCGACGACCGGGGGGGGCCCAACTGCCCCCCGGCCCCGCCGAGGGTCGTGTGCGGGCTCGCTGTCGGGGGCCTCTCGCCGATCTAGCGGCGATGCATCGCCCCTTCCAGGTCGCTGCTCCCCCCCCCCTGCGCCACCCTGACCTTCAGAGAGCTATTTTTTAGCACTGGAAACCTAAAAACCTAAAAAACGAGACGAAACAGCCTAAAACCAAGACGTAAAATAGCTCTGGGATAGGTTTTTACGTCGGGTGCTATTTTTTGGCCCTCCTGGAAGGTCGGGGCAGTCCCCCCCCCCTTGTCGTTGCCCCGCAGGGTGGGCGGGC